TGTGTGTGTGTGTGTGTGTGTATACATACATACAGGCAAACTAATTAAAAAGAATAATTTTTTAATTTTAAAATAATAATTAAAAAAAACCCACTGCCATCAAGTCAATTCTGATTCATAGCAACCTCTGCTGGGTTTCCAAAGAGGCAAATCTTTACAGAAATAGATTGCCCCTATCTTTCTTCCATGGAGCAGCTGGTGGGTTCAAAACACCAACCTCTGGTTAGCAGTCAAATTCCTTAGGTACTGCACCACCAGAGCTCCTTAACTACTCAGTCAACCACAGTAACATGATACATTTCTTTACAACACTACTTAAGCATCATGAATTTTCCTGAGTAATTTTAAATATAACTATTCTAAAAATAATATTTTGAGAATTTTATCTTTATTTAGTTTTCATAACATGGATAAAAAAAGAATGAAAATTTCGTAAATACATAAAATCTGCTTTCCCAGCTTTTTAATAAATATGTTTTCATTACAAAAGGAAGGTGGATGGAATCAAGTAAAATGCTATTGTCATAAATGACCATTGAGGAAAGTCAGGCCAGAATGACCCAAACAAGATTTTAGCATGCAAATTAAATATTTAAGAAGAGAATTAATTTTAGGGTTGGGCAACCTACTTCCATATGGATACTGCCTTGGAAACCCAAGGAGGGGTCGCTATGAGTAGGGTCTGAGTCCATGGCAATGAGTGAGACATTATTTGATTGATGAAGAAAAAAAAAATCACTGCCGTCGAGTGGATCCTGACTCATAGCGACAACTCCTGGGTTTTCTGAGGCGGTATCTCTACACAAGTAGATTGCCCAATATTCCTTCCAAGGAGTAGCTGGTGGGTTTGAACCACCAGCCTTCTGGTTAGCAGTCAATGCTTTAGGCACTACACCACTAGAGCTTCCATTTGACTGACAAACACCTGAATTTTGCGATCGATAGCACAACTATGTACATTTCAAACTTTTCTGGTCAGTTCTTCTGTCCCTACCTGCTGCTCAAGAAACTATTATTGACATTGGTTCCTCACCTGATGATTTCTGGCAAACGAAATCTTAAATATAAAACAACTCCTACAAACTGCTCCGCCAAGTAAAGTAATTCATAATTTTTGTCAAGGTTCAAGGGAAGACACACTGGAACAGCCTGGAAAGAATAAAACAAATAAAACACAAAGTTATTGTTTGGTTTTTGTGTCAGGTTACAGTCCCTTCTCTAGTTCCAACTATTCTTGTCAAATATGTCCTCTGTGCAGAGTCCGATTACCCAATAAGCAAGGTAAGCACAGGCTTACTTGTGCTTACTTACTAATCTAAAATGAACAAATGCACATTTTTCACCACATTAAAGATTCTGCTTCTAGGTCCGGCTGTCATCTGTTTCTCCTCCAATTTCACAACACCTTTTCAAATTTATAATATCTGACAGGGCCAGAATACTCAGTAAGCAAAGTAAACACAGGCTTAGCTGTGTTTATTTACTAACATGCACTGAACAAGTTTACATGGGTTTCACCAGATCTCCATCTTGTTCACTGAGTATTCCTTCTCTGCCTCTGTGATACACTAAAATTAAATTTTATTTTAAAATCAATCAACCCTCAACAGTAATAAAGTAACATTTTTAACTTCATTTTATATTCCATCTGTATAACCTCTAAGAATATGTGTGTATGTAAAGTACTGTTCAATGTTTGTGGCTTTAGTTTTTTGTCTTAAATATTTCCTTTGCAAATCTCAGTCTTAAACACTTTCCCATTCAAGAAACAACATATATCCCTTAATTAACTGCCAGGTAGGATGTCTTCTATGAATTATAACTGAAAATTGCTTTTATTTGGACTCAGAAATAGAAGAATTAATCTACCATTAATAGCACTGCACTCATTCACTCCTTCATCTATTCAGAAGAATATTCTGATTAATGACATGCTATCCAGATAATATAAGGAGCTCTGACAGTGCAGTGGTTAAGACATTTGGCTGCTAACTAAAGGTTGGTGGTTTGAACCCACCAGCCACTTCTGCTCCTCAGAAGAAAGATGAGGCAGTCTGCTTCCATAAAGATTTACAGCCTTGAAAACCCCATGAGGGTCACTATGATTCAGAATCAACTTGATGGCAGTGAGTTTGGTTTTTTGGATCCAGATAATATAAGGAATACTGGAAAAAATGGAGGGAATAAATGGAAGTATTTATTTATATAAATATAAATGTCATCTTGGTTTTCAAGGAATTTATAAAAAAGTGATTTACGATTATTAAGCATGCTTTTTCTAAGGGTAAAATATATTTTTTAAAAAAAGAAATATTTAAAAGTCTTTCAGGAATAAGTTCTTGGGCATATATGAGGACATTTGGGGAGAATTGTGTACATAGTAGATATTTATATCTAAACCAAAAAACCAAATTCACTGCTGTGGAGTCAGATCCAACTCATAGAGACCCCTCCTTGGGCTTCCGAGGTGTTATTGCTACTGAAGTAGATTGCCCAACCTTCCTTCCAAGGAGTGGCTGGTGGGTTTGAACCACCAGCCAGCCTTCTGGTTAACAGTCAAATGCCTTAGACACAATGCCACCAGAGCTCCTCTATTTATATCTAGCTCTAGAAATAATATTTCATTTCTTCATAGAACTTCCATAAAATCTATTCCATAGATAGTGATATGTAACCATAAGCAATACTGAATTAAGGGACTAAATTTGACTGCTAACCAGAAGGCTGGCGGTTCAAACCCACCAGCCACTCCTCGGAAGGAAGGTTGGGCAATCTACTTCCACAGAGATACAACCTCAGAAACCCCAGGAGGGGTTGCTATGAGTCGAAGTCTACTTGATGCCACAATTTGTTTTGTTTTTTGGTTAAATTCACACTGCATGGCACTTCATATAAGTAGCACCAAAGTTACTACATATGCCAACTAGTTTATCTTATTTTCCTTTACCAAGTAGATAGTATAATATCAAATATTACATTTTTGTGGATATATATAGCTTAATCTTGGGAGAATATATAGAGGTATGTGCACTGATAGGTTAAATCACTATGTAACATGGGAGAATCTCTATTTAGAAATTTTGTTAAATTTTTTATTGTCTGCTTTACTTATTATGTAAAATTTCATCTTAACTTGTAAAAATTACAAAATGCAAGGACGGATTAAGGATCACTAACACATGATCCTTCTTTAGAGGAGGGAAAAAAAGAACCTCAGATGTTGGGAGCTTCAGATGTTGACCTGCTTATTTCAAGAAAGGAAAAACTAGGGCCTTCTCCCAACATTCAGTTCCTGGGTCAACTATGTGCTAAATCTGAATAACTAAAAGCAAGTTTCAGAAACGTAGATTAATACAAACGAACTCTCTGAATGGTGATATAGTGCCTAAGGTATTAGACGGTGAGTCAGAAGGTTGGCAGTTCAAACCCACCAGCCACTCCATGGAAGGAAGAAGGGCAATCTACTTCAGTAAATATTTACTGCCTCTGCCTCAGAAAACCAATGGGGGTCACTATGAGTTGGCATCAACTCCATGGCAGTGAGTTTGGTTTTGGTTTTAAACCCTACTAAATCCTACTGAGGAGCTCTGGTAGCGTAGTGCCTAAGGCACTTGACTGCTAACCAGAAAGCTGGTGGTTCAAACCTATAGCTGCTCCTTGGAAGGAAGACTGGGCAATTTACTTCCCTAGTGATACTGTCTCAGAAACCCAAGGAGGGGTCGCTATGAGTTGGGTCCGACTTGTAGCACATAACAACAACAAATCCTACTGAGACAAGTTGTTTTCACCTGAAATTTTCTGAGCACTCTTACAAGGACTGACCTGCATATAGCATGATCATACTTGTCAAGAATGGGATTAAGCAGGCATTGGAAAATATGTCCACTGAAGTTTTTATGCCAAGATTGTTTTCCTCACAAAGAGGAGTACAGGCCTCAATTTTTCTTAAATAAGCATATACTTTTCATTTACATTTTGAAAACGTACAGATTATACAGATGAGTGTGCTCCAAACTGTGACACTGTAGTCTTTCTTTTCTTTTTAAATGAGTCATGGATTATTCCAATGTTTCTGCCTTATATGATCATAATTAGTAAATAGATAATAACATATAACCTCCTTAGAAATACAGCAATTAGTGTAGAGTATCCATATTTTCCTGATTTATCTCAGCTATGTATCTGAATCCATCCTGTCAGTAAAGAGATGAGAAGTTTAGCATTGTAAGATGTTTACCTCACAACTTCTCTGATCTTGGGCAAGTTTAAATCCTTTCTTCCCATCACAGTAACATGAATAACCTCCAGGGTAATTGATGCAAAGTTGAGTACACATGTTTTCAGAACATTCATCCACATCTGAAGTAAAAGAGAACAAAACTTTGATAGCTCCTAAATGTTCAACCCACAAGAAGAGGAAGTATTCTGATTTCTGTATGAGATAAGTGAATGACAGTAAGTCCCTAGTGAAACAAATCACTATTACATCAAATCACATTTAAAGACTTGACGTAGAAATGTAAATTATTTACAGATTTACTTTCTATTTATTTATACAACTGAAACAGATGTTTAATTTCTAAACTCAGTAATTAATAATTAAAGTATAACAATTGAACTAATACTGATTTTGAATTTGAAGAAAATTTTTTAAAAGACAGAGTGTCAAGATAATAGTCATTTCATGAATTCCATTGAAGCTACCTTCCAATGCTTTGCTTCAAAAAAAAAAGAAAGACAGGAAAAGAGGAAAAGAAAATACCTCTTTTAACTAAAGATTATTAATGTGATAGGAGATTAAATGATAATATCAAGAACATCTGGTTTCTCAAAAGGCCATGCTTAAATGGCAGACATAAATTTAAGAACATAACTGATATAACCTACTACATTGTGAAATTTTCTATGTGATCGCTGCCCCTTTCTGTATTTTGATAAAATCATTTTTGAAACTTTGTAATAATATGCTTAAGCTAAAGTCCATTCAGAGTTAACTATATTCCTTGACATTTTCAATGGATGCACACTGTGATCTTTGAGAATTTCCAAATTCATAAATGCCATTATAGCATATAATTTCCCAACTATTGCCTTAAAATAAAACCCCAAATTAGTGATCCTTCAATACTATTAATGACTGCATAACACATAATTAAAGTCATACACATATATGAATATATATAATATATATATTTAAATAAAAATTCTTATCACTCATATATTAAAACCACAATATAGAGGATAAAATTGGCTGAAGATAAATGTGCAAATGCTTAAAGTTTACCGAGTAATTTCTGTCTGGAATGATGAGATTTTGGAAATGGTATATGTGAGAGAAGGAATATTTTTGGTGAGAGGTGGGAGGGAGGTAAGGCATCAACCTCAACAGGAGCATATGAAGTTGGGAAAAAAAAAAATTCTATTTTTTTTCTGTTTCATTAGTTTTAGTCACTGTACTATATTTATTTTTAAATTTTGAAAAATTTAAAGAAGGATGTGAAACAATTTGTGTATATTTGGTAAATCCCACTAACATGTTTAAACAACCGAGAGGGCACATGAGGAGCTCTGGTAGCGTAGTGTGCCTAAGTCAGTTGACTGCTAACCAGAAGAATGGTGGTTCAAACCCACCAGCCACTCCTCAGAAGGAAGGTTGGGCAATCTACTTCCGTAGTGATACCACCTCGGGTCTGACTCGATGGCACACAACAACAACAACAGAGGGCACATGACAGGAACACTGCAGAACAAATGGAGTAATAGTGAACTGCAATAGATTATCTATTCCAAATCCACTGGGGCACTGGCATTCCTTACCCATATTTCTCAAGTTTCTAAAGCTGAGTAATCTTTTGGTTATGAGGAGATTTTCTTTGATAGGTATTTAAATAATAACAGAACTATGCCATTTCCTACTTTAGAATAAATGATTTACTACATATACATAGGAAAACTTTGTAAAGCTTAAGAATAAAACCTAAGGTTTTGTAGTAGTCATAGTTGTGTGTCAACTTGGCTGGACCATGGTTTTGAGAGATGTAGTTAGTCCCCATGATAAGACCAGTAATCAGTTCCATGGTGGAATCTGCTATAAGCAGCTAAGTAGCTGCCTTCAGGGTGTAGCCTGCTTCCAGTATATAAGAAGCAGCTTTGAGAAAGGTCTCTGAGCTTCTTGACACATCTGGATCCTGCATTTGGCCAAGTCATCAGTGGCCTGGCATGTTGCCTGCCTATCTTGAGACTTGAAATAGTGGTCTGTCTGTTGCTGGCTAATCTTGGAACTGTGCTATTGCACTTGTCAATTTGGGGTTCTTCAGCCTCAGCAGCCAGCAGCTACATGAGTCAGAAAAAGCCTCTAGCTCTGTCGGTCTGGAACAGGAGGCAGAACTGAAGCCCAAGGTTGAGGGGCCTTCACCCAGCCCCTAGAGTTGGCACTTTGAACTCAGAGTTCTAGCCTCCTAAACTGTAAGAGAGTAAATCTGTTTGTTAATGTCAACCACTTGTGATAATTCTGTTATAGCAGCACTGTTGTTGTTGTTGTTATGTGCCGTCGAGTCAGACCCAACTCACAGCGACCCCTCCTTGGGTTTCCGAGGCAGTATCACTATGGAAGTAG